ACACTTAATCCGTCATTCACCTAGACATTCACTGTCTCGGTGATTTTCTGAGAAAACACATTCGCAGGTGGGTGAGGAAACACACTCTCAACATTACACTCTCGGAGTTATCACTCTCAGGAACGCTGGAACTTTCTCCCTATTCGTGTACTGACTGTGGGTGCAATATCACAGTCAGGTTCTCTTCGACCGACTATCTTTGTGTCGATCGGGCTTGCTCTACGATCTACTCTCTGATAGTCGATCTTGCTTCAACGTGTTGTTCATCCTGAACGACACGTATTTCTCTTCTTGAATGCACCCTTCTTGGGGTGCATCTGTGTTCCAGTCCACCCGATCTCTCCGAGTGGTGAATCTTCGGCGCATCTTGTGTCTCTACACAGGTGCCGGAAGCTGGTTCCACAGTGCAGTGGCCTTCTACACTGTGATCTTGTGCAATCGTACTAACGACCGTACCATGTGTGATGCCATCGCACTCACTTGTAGTACATCTACATGCTTGTGAAAGCTTCAACACGTTCATCAGATGGCCACCTGATGAACGAACGGCAGGCATCTTCACGGATCGATGCTGCCAGCTGATTCATGGCTGGCGCTTTTTGAGCAATGGCAGACCAAGGATGACGTCAAATATGTTATCCGAATCTGGTACGATGAAGTCATCATCGTACTGCCTTCCTTCTAGCATGTAGTGGATTCCCACAACACGTTTGTTCACTGTTACGGATGCGCCTGTAGCAAGGCACACCGTCATCCTCTTTGGAGGGAACTCTCGCTCAAGATAGTTGAGCCTACTATCCTCTAGCGACTGGTGTCAAATAAAAATGTTCGACGCCCCACAGTCAACTAAGGCGCAAAGTGACATTCCACTCGTCACTTCGATCTTCAAAGTGATGAGAGACTCCTTATCACTAAGGGCAGTAACACACAGAGACTGCTTGTTGGGAGCAATCTGCGTCAAGAGTCCTGCAAATTCTCTTGACGTTGCTGGATCAGTAGGGTCTCCGCCCCTACTGACCTTGACTAATTTTTACGGTCCGACTTGCTGTCGCAGTTTAGCGACATGGTCGGAACCACTCCTCGGACTTTTCCTCGGCCAACGGCGGTCATCACGTCCTGTCTTTGGATGTGTTGCGGTGCTTAGGAAACTACACTCATGAGCTTAGTGTCCAATCTTATGACAGCGATGGTATCTTGCTGTTCGCTTGTGACTCAGAGAGCGAGAGTTCTCGCTCTCGATGTAATATAGGTCCATTGGTTCGCGACCTCCTGTTTCCTGTCGTCTCGTCGGATGATAGCTGGACGAGTTATCCTGAGACTGTCTCAGGCTGAAGTCCTCTTGTTCTGCATGCGCTATCGCCTTTTCTAGCGTACGGAAGTCCTCTCGGAACATGTAGGTCTTCGCCGGTCCATCTACAAGGACGTAGATGAACACGTTGATGAGCGTGTGCTTATCAATAGGGTTTTCCATGACGCTACTCGCAAGGTAGCGCAGTGTTGTGCGCAAGCATGCACGTCACGCTTGCCTTGCTTTAGCCTCAAGAGTGCAGAGCGTGCTCTAGACTCGGCTCTTGGCGGCTCAAACGTCTCTTTAAGCCGAGACTTCAAGATCTTTAACGACTCAAACACGTTTGGGTTGTGAAGCTTGAGCCTTAAGGCCCAAGTCTTTGCTCGTCCTGTCAAATTTGATAGGGCGAAGGTGACTTGCATCTCGTCACCCTCGATGTGACGGGCCCTGATGGCGTCGTCTAACTCGACGAACCATCTCAAAATTGAATCTCATCGGTTCCCTTGTACCTTGAGATATTAATCTTCTAGGTTTCGGGTCGACGAATATGCGTCGGCCCGCCCATCGACTGATGAGAGCCTTGCTGTTGTAGCAAGGCTATCTTCTGTCTTTCGACGGCGAGTTCCCCTTGTAGGAACTTGTTGATAGCAGCATGTTGCTGGTCTCTGGTTAGAGACTCCAACATACCACTGATGGCGGGTTCGCCCATGAGCACACTCATGCGGCCGACTACCTCCCATTATGAGTCACTCAGATTGGGGTAGCCTTCACGTGTGACGTGAAAGCTGTCGTCTTCTACGTCCAACATGTTCATGTTGGACGGACACTAAGTAGTCGTTGAACGGACTACAAAGTGCTACCAGGTGTAACGAGGCACCCTTTGTTTGGGGTGCCACGAAACTTCACGTACACTAGTACGTTCAGAGGAACATAATTTACTCAACAACTGTGTTGAGTAAAGGGTTAAAAGAACTGTATTTTATATAGTTAAGCTATCATTTTTACTTTAGTCTTTGTCTAACTGCATTCAACTTCGTCTTCGTATGACGACAACCTGCTCACCACTCATTGCGCGCGTCTAGCATCGATTGGTGGCAATCTATGGTTGATATGTCTTTTATCAACCAATCTTTGAGTAGCGCAGGAATATTATCCCAAAAGGTCATAAAATTCCTTCGAAATTATCCATCTCGGATAATTTTGGTAGGATATTGTCATGGTAGACAATACTCCTATTGACACTGTTCAGTGTCAATATCATGTAACGGGCAACCCCGTTACACCAGAACCGTCGTTCGAGAAGAGCTGGCTACCTTTTGCTCGTGTCTTGTTTATACTCCCCACCTAGCGCTGCCGATTGAAGAGATGAGAGGTCCAAGTGGATAGCCAGCCTACAAACCTACAAACGTGTATGCTTGTAGGCCGGCTACGTACTTGGACCTTGTAGGTTTTTAGGCTGGCTATCTACTTGATTTTTCTAAAACGGTTCATTTTAAGGCTATCCACTTGAAATATGAAGGCATTTTTTTTACGCTTCGCTGTGAAAGGCGAGTCACCTGTTTTTTTAGGTTTCCTTTAGTTTCCGCTTTCACATCATCGGTCGGCACAAGAGACCATTTATCTCTTTCTATCCAAAACAAAATTTCAGAAACTCCAAAACACGTGTTTCAAGTGGCATGAAGAAAGTCTGATCGACATCACTGACTCGCGCCACAGTGAGCTGCACGAAAGTCCGGTCCAGCTATTCTCCAATTGACCGCCGAAGCACTAAGTACCCTCACTGAACGTACGATGGAAATCGCTGTGCTCGCCATTTTTCTGTTGTTGGGCGTGAATGTGCTCACCGCCGATGCATTTAACCGTGTGCGCACGTACTTTGGGCCCGCGGCTCCACCAGGACTCGGGGAGCAGTGCGCGTGGGAGAACAGTTCTCGACCGTGCGCGGGAGATTTGATTTGCAAATGGAATGAATCGCTACACATTGGCATTTGCGAGGAAGAAGAACCGACACCTCAGAGCAGGAAGTCTATTGGCTTCTTTAGCTGCTTGGGAGGTAAATAATGGGTGTTGTCGGAAGTGTAGCAGTGGCGGCAAGACTGTGCCTTGGACTACACTGCATCGAGGACAGCGACTGGTCAGGCGCGTGCATCAAGAGCAAGGATGTGGTCAAGATCGTATCCAGCCACTGTCCGTTTGAGGTGTCGTCTCTGCATCTATGGAGTAGATGGACAAGAGTTCCGGTCGTGGATACTAAAGGACGATGGCTCGCTACCGGCTTGGGTGCAATGTTTACAATTTACGTACAAACCATAACTCAAATATAAAAATGTTGAACGACGATTAGCTGATGTTTGCAATAGTCGTAGCAGATGATCAGACGCTGTCCTGGCACATGAGATCAGAAACATGTCAAGTAAATGGATCGTTTTGCCTCTAGAACTGGTCAAAGTGAAATGACGAGGGCGCTAGTAACGAAACGCCTTGTCTGGCTCAAAGGCATAGTTGATGAATTCTACTGCACTCACAACACGGTTTTGAGCTCGCTTCCACGTCTTCTTGTACGACAACAGCTTCGCTCGAAAACCGACTGCCGAATTTCCAGTCTCATTGAGCGTACTGAAACCTATCGATGCTGTGGCTACTGCCTCGATACTTACTGTTACATGTACCGAACGCAAACTCATGAGCCAAGCAAAGCTCCAACCTCCACTGACGGACAAGTGCTCGATGATCAGACTCGGGGCTGGTTCAATGCACTGGGCTGCAGGGTGGCGGACATGCCGCCTCTGTAGTAGGGGTGAGGTTGACATACAGGTCAATAATGTGAAGGCGAGTTGACCCTTGAAGTCGAAAACGAGTGTTGGAGAAAGATAATTGGACATCCCTTTTGCGCATCGAAGCAGCGTCATTATAGAAAGCCACTTTGAGTGGATACCGCTTTGATGCACACGCAGCCTGTGCACGTTTAGGGTAGTTGGCTTTCTTCGATCGCCATTGTTTCCGAGTTAAAATTTTGTTAAATAATTCAAAGTTAAAAAACAATAGCTTAAAAGTATCGTTTGCTGCAAAAATGTCCAACGAGCGACACGTCGACGGCAAAGGCGACGCAGAAGTCCAGTTCGCTTTGTTGTACAAACGCTTTTCATAAAGCGTATTACCATATCGTCCCGAAAAATAACTAGTGACGTGAATTACGACGTGCGGTACGTGCCGAATTGGACGTTGGTGATTGTTAAGTCGATAGGCTCCATCACAAGTTCAAAAACACCGCCGTTCCCTTGCGGGCCTGTTGGCTTGAATGCTCCATTATTCACGTAAATAAACAAGTGGTCGTCGTAAGGTGCGCACACACTTGTCCAGAACGAGCCATGGTGATTATATTTACATCTCAACACCCTGGAACACGGATCCTTGACCTGCACATAATGCGACTTCCGTAATGTAGTGGAGGAATTTGTCAGAACATGAACCTGCTCTTGCAATGTGAAAAGTCGCGGCTAATTCTGATACCGTTGTCTCGTCCTTTTTGCACTCCAGTCGACACAAAAAATCAGGCTCAGTCTAGATCCACCCAACTCTCGGGATCCGGCCAGCCGAACAAATCATTCCAGTTTTGACCATCCAAGAGAGATCAATATTCGCCATCCAATCCTAATTTCCATCTCTTGCGTGCACTCGTGGGTATCGGATCAGACACCAATTGACTAAGGAGATGTGGCGTCGCGTCGGTTTGCTCACTTTCTTCACTGGGGCTGCTGCTCCTTCCAGCTCCGCCTCAAACGCCGCACACCTCACTATGATGGTGTCCAAACAATCGGTGGAAAGTACTTCGGATACTTCCACTTCATCACAAGATGTAGATGCAGGAACGGTGTCAGCTTTCGAAGACGCTGGTAGCTCCTCCTCAGCTGCCGGTGCTGTCGAAACTGTTGGTAGCACGACTACGACCGATCAAACCGGTAGCGCTGGCAGCTGGCACATGACCGCAGTCACTTCGGTGCAAGCTCGTGTCCAAGGCGACGCCCCCGTGTGGAACGAAGACGCCAAGATGTGGCTGTCCAAGTTTGGCGACACGACGGAACTCGCGTACATGAACAGCTTGGACACTGTCAACACGGCGTCAGTCGAAGGCGCTCTGATGTTCGTGCAGGCTGAAGGCATCAACGTGAACGAGCAGTCGGTCAAGTGTGAGCGCAAGAACAACATGCAGTACGTGGTGTTCTACGAGGTGACGATTGTGCAGCCGACGTACGGCATCAAGTACTACGAGGACCACACGCCTCCTGAGTACGGCGAGTTCGTGGCCATGGACAGCGCCAAGTGCACGGACGAGGGCAGTGACTTGACCGAGCACTGCAAAGTGTACAACGGATTGGACGGAGCACCGGACATTGGCCCAATGGTCGGCGCCAACCTGCAGACGGCGGATCGACGGGCGCCGTACCCTGACAATTTCTGGTTCTCGTACCCGGGCTCCTGTGCACAAGAGCTGCGGGAAGACAAGACCGACGAGTGTCGTGCCGAGTATCCTGGCGGGTTGTGCGCCATGGGCGTCCAGCCTGACGGCGAGAACTGCACGTTCAGCTACAAGATTCTTGGCTACCTGAACATTGACGACCTGGTTGGTATCACCGAGATGGGTTACGGTAACTTCACGGAGTTTTGTGCCGACGGCGGTGTGGAATTCAAAGCTTCGAACACTGGGAGTGGCTTTGAGGTGGAGGAGTCGATCGAGTTCTGGAAAAACCCGGGTGACGAGAACGCCAATTCAAACCGGACCGACATCATGGTGGAGATGTACAACAAGCTGGCGAGTAACGGGACAAGCTCCAACATGGAACCACTTCCATCGATTGACGAGCTGACGTCGGCAAACCCGAAGTGCTACGAGAACAGCAAGGCGTGCGCGACCTCCCAATACGGCTGCAACCGGACGTTGTACGCGCAGATCTGTACAGTGTGCTCATCCCAAGCGGACGGCTGTGAGGCTGCTCCGTCCGCGTTCTCGTTCCCAGAGCTGACACTGCCTTCCAACTCTTCTAACAGCTCAAACCCGTCAAGTGATGGTACATCGGGAAGCTTGGTGACGCCGTCAGCGGCATCGGTCCTTCTGGGTCTTGTAGCGGTCCTTGCTAGCAGTCTCCTGTAAGCTTGACGAAAGGCGCTCTGCTTCCCCGTGTGCCAATGGATCCATCGATAAAAAGCTGCACAAGTATGTGAGCATCGTTTGTACCGGTTCTCTCTCCTCGTCTTCCAATCCTGTGTGAATAATTTAACTAAGCCCGCGCCATGTCAAGCATGTACACTTCGCACGAGCAGTGTCCTTGTCCGCGTGACGTGCGTCTCTTCAAGCTCAGATACAGGTACACCTTTTGTAGCACGTGCAGCACCGAGTGAGAATGGAATAGGGCTCGTTTGCCAACGATTTTCTTCAACTTACGACAGCTGATATTGTCCAAACGTGCGGATAAGTACATCGCGCACTTGCTGCATACGTATGCGAGCTAGCACCTGGCATTGACTTCAAATAGAGCTAACTCATTTGTCTGGAGTCTGTGCTTGCTTGAACGGACACCCTATGTCGTGTCTTCACGGCGCATGTCGCGACATCTCGGTTGCGTTGAGATGATATCAGCAGCGGCGTCGAGAAACCGACTGCTCGTCAAGATTCAACGTCTGAACTCGACGATCCTCGACAAACGTCCAGCGAAGGTACTGGCCCGACTGATGAAACGGTCTGTGCTGTCAATATCCTAGCACAATTGCATCCCACTGCAACGCTCGACGAACGATGCTGTCTCAAGCTGTCGCTTTCTCACGTCAATCGACGTGAGTAGAGCAAACGCCTCACCAACATTACTTCGAGACCGCTGGTTTGTCTCTTGTCGCCACCTCTTTTTCTGTACATCCATCTTGCCGACTCAGACCGCGAAACGTAACCCATCAGGTCCACAATGTCGCAGCTTTCCGGCTGCAAAAACAAATCGGGGGTCCCACAATTCCGACGACTCACTCTTCGTTCCGCTTGGTACGACTCCGGACTATCGAGCAGCTCTTTCCACCACGATGCGTCGACGCTTCAGTCTCCACTGCTTGTTACTGAGCGCGTCTATAAGCTCAATCGCTAATGCCGCGCACCTCACTGCGACCGTGACAAAAGAAGCGCCGTCGGAGTCTTCCGCCACTCCCAACCCCGTCGCCGCCGACTCAACCACGACCATGACGACGGCCGAATCTTCAAACACTTCCGCCACTGCTAGCAGTAGCAGCAATACCGGCACCGGCGACTGGCACATGACCGCAGTCACTTCGGTGCAAGCTCGTGTCCAAGGCGACGCCCCCGTGTGGAACGAAGACGCCAAGATGTGGCTGTCCAAGTTTGGCGACACGACGGAACTCGCGTACATGAACAGCTTGGACACTGTCAACACGGCGTCAGTCGAAGGCGCTCTGATGTTCGTGCAGGCTGAAGGCATCAACGTGAACGAGCAGTCGGTCAAGTGTGAGCGCAAGAACAACATGCAGTACGTGGTGTTCTACGAGGTGACGATTGTGCAGCCGACGTACGGCATCAAGTACTACGAGGACCACACGCCTCCTGAGTACGGCGAGTTCGTGGCCATGGACAGCGCCAAGTGCACGGACGAGGGCAGTGACTTGACCGAGCACTGCAAAGTGTACAACGGATTGGACGGAGCACCGGACATTGGCCCAATGGTCGGCGCCAACCTGCAGACGGCGGATCGACGGGCGCCGTACCCTGACAATTTCTGGTTCTCGTACCCGGGCTCCTGTGCACAAGAGCTGCGGGAAGACAAGACCGACGAGTGTCGTGCCGAGTATCCTGGCGGGTTGTGCGCCATGGGCGTCCAGCCTGACGGCGAGAACTGCACGTTCAGCTACAAGATTCTTGGCTACCTGAACATTGACGACCTGGTTGGTATCACCGAGTTGGGCTACAGCAGTTACGAGGAGTTCTGCAAGGACGGCGGTGTGGAATTCAAAGCTTCGAACACTGGGAGCGGCTTTGAGGTGGAGGAGTCGATCGAGTTCTGGGAGAAGCCTGGAGATAAAGACGCCAATGCCAAACGAGCGAAGAAGATGGTGGAGATGTACAACGAGCTGGCGAGTAATGACTCGAGCTCGAACATGTCGCCTCTGCCGTCTGTTGAGACACTCACAGCAGCGAATCCCGAGTGTTACCTGAACAGCGCCAAGTGCGCCAGTGCTCAGTATGGCTGCAGTCGGTCGCTGTACTCACAGATTTGCTCCGTTTGCACGCCATCGGACAGTTGTAATGCTGCCTCCTCGGCGTTCCCAGATCTGGAGCTGCCTACAAACTCGTCGTCATCGTCTTCTTCATCGGGCGTGAGCTCGGCGAGTAGCTCAACGGATGCTGGCTCTACAGGCGGCAGCACTGATGCTGGAACGACTACGGACGATGCCTCATCGCCCCCACGTGACCGCGATTACACCAGTAGTGGTACTGGGTCAGTGGCAGCGGCGTCGGGTATCGTGGCGATGGCTGCTCTTGTCGCCAGTAGCTTGTTGTAAGATTGGGATGTTAGCACAGACGTTTTGGACTAGGACAGGTCTTGAGGCTCTTGTTGCTTGTGGAAAGAGTGACGGGATTGTGGTCGCATTTTAATGTCAATAAATATCTGAAAGCATGACACAACGAAGGCATAAAAGTATGCACCGTCTGTGGCAAATCCGGTCAAGTAAAGAGAACTGTGTGCCGCGGCGGTACATACCAGTCGCGCACCGACGTGCCGACTCGCCATCGGTTGCAGTGATGGCCTTTGCAACTCTCTTTGCGTTTTTATGACGGTCACACAAGGCGTGAAAGAGCAACGAGCAGAATAAAGATGACGGACTTTTCACCACCTTAGTTCGTAAGACTTTACGAGCAAGTTCGCTTCGGTACGAGCTCGTGTCGTTGCCGCACGTGTGTTACAGAGAACCTTGCAAATAGACCTGTCTTGAATGGAAATAGGCATGAAACCGTCACGAGCAAACCCTCGAGGCGAGAAGGGGTGGCGTCCGCCTGCTGCCACGAGTGCAGTGCAAAGCGCATCCGCACTCAAACGTATACGCAAGCAACTTGTTGGTTGAAGGGAAATGTTGGACTGAACGTGCTTGAAGGTTGCTTTTCTTTGATTCTAGCTTTCAAAGACCATCACTCCTGTGCAATGTCAAAATGCAATCTCAAGTTGCCCCCTTTCTCCCCAATGTATCTGCCGATTGATCACACTCACCCTTTTTTCTTGCAATTCTTGGCAAAGGGCGCGTCTTTCATATTTGGCGTTGCACTTACACATGCGGTATGGGAGAGTATCACGTACGATTAAGGTGCAACATTATCGCAAGGCACATTGAACAGCCCAGCGGAAACTGCCTTTGTGGGTGGGAGACGTTGAGGCCTGCGCTCCAGTCGTGAATCGGTCATGCACGAATGAAAAAGTGTTGCAGTTTATGCCGGTGACGTGTCCGATATATTCCACACCGATCCGAACTTAAAGCAGTTTGTTGCTCGTAAAACCTTGTTTACCGATGTTGTTCAAAAAAACCTCGCTAGGAAACCTTGGCGATCGAAGAAAGCCAACTACCCTAAACGTGCACAGGCTACGTGTGCATCAATGCATTGTGTAAACTCAAAGTGGCTTTCTATAATGACGCTGCCTCCATGCGCAAAAGGGATGTCCAATTATCTTTCTCCAACACTCGTTTTCGACTTCAAGGGTCAACTCGCCTTCACATTATTGACCTGTATGTCAACCTCACCCCTACTGCAGAGGCGGCATGTCCGCCACCCTGCAGCCCAGTGCATTGAACCAGCCCCGAGTCTGATCATCGAGCACTTGTCTGTCAGTGGAGGTTGGAGCTTTGCTTGGCTCATGAGTTTGCGTTCGGTACATGTAACAGTGAGTATCGAGGCAGTAGCCACAGCATCGATAGGTTTCAGTACGCTCAATGAGACTGGAAATTCGGCAGTCGGTTTTCGAGCGAAGCTGTTGTCGTACAAGAAGACGTGGAAGCGAGCTCAAAACCGTGTTGTGAGTGCAGTAGAATTCATCAACTATGCCTTTGAGCCAGACAAGGCGTTTCGTTACTAGCGCCCTCGTCATTTCACTTTGACCAGTTCTAGAGGCAAAACGATCCATTTACTTGACATGTTTCTGATCTCATGTGCCAGGACAGCGTCTGATCATCTGCTACGACTATTGCAAACATCAGCTAATCGTCGTTCAACATTTTTATATTTGAGTTATGGTTTGTACGTAAATTGTAAACATTGCACCCAAGCCGGTAGCGAGCCATCGTCCTTTAGTATCCACGACCGGAACTCTTGTCTCTCTTCTCCGTAGATGCAGAGACGACACCTCAAACGGACAGTGGCTGGATACGATCTTGACCACATCCTTGCTCTTGATGCACGCGCCTGACCAGTCGCTGTCCTCGATGCAGTGTAGTCCAAGGCACAGTCTTGCCGCCACTGCTACACTTCCGACAACACCCATTATTTACCTCCCAAGCAGCTAAAGAAGCCAATAGACTTCTTGGTCGTAGGGGGCGCGACTTCTTCCTCGCAAATGCCAATGTGTAGCGATTCATTCCATTTGCAAATCAAATCTCCCGCGCACGGTCGAGAACTGTTCTCCCACGCGCACTGCTCCCCGAGTCCCGGTGGAGCCACGGGCCCAAAGTACGTGCGCACACGGTTAAATGCATCGGCGGTGAGCACATTCACGCCCAATAGAGCGACGACAAGAACAGCGAATTTCATGGTTGAATACTGAATGAGTGCACTTGGCTTGTGATCGTCGATTGGAAAATGGCTGGATCGGACGTTCTTGCAGCTCACTGTGGTGCGAGTGGATTGTCCCGATCTGATTTGAATTTTTGGAAGTGTGAAAGCAAGTCTTGGAGTATCCAGTACTTTGCTTTAAGTGAAAAGAGGAAATGGTCTGATATGCCGACTGATACTGTGAGAGTGAATACAATGGGAAGCATAGAGAACAAGTGAAGAGCCTAAAACAGAATTACCTAAAAAAATTCAAGTGGATAGCCTACACCCACGTGGATTGCGATTTAAGTAATGCGAGAGAGTCTTTTTATCAAAATATGGCTGGGATCGCCATATTTTGATAAAATAAGGGAATTATTATTTAGCAGAGTGAGGGAGGAATGGGTTGCTCGAAGAGTGCTACACGTGTTGACAAGGAGGGCGATAGCGTGGCCACACTGTCTGTCCCTCTTCGAAATGCTGCATTGATGCTTGCAGAGCTCAAGACTTTCTGGTTGCAGCAGGAGAATGGAGAGAAGTTCTCAAAGATAATTTAGAAGATGCAGGATCAGGTAAGAAATCTTTAGCAAAAAATTAACAAGCAACAAACTCTGGATGATTGTTTTGTCGTGGTCCCCCGGCAGTAATAGTATAATATTTGTATGAGGGAAATTTCTCCGGCTTAAATAATAAAATTGAGGGAGTTTTTAGTTGTGGGCCTGGGCCCAACATGGGAATCGACATTTTTATCAAAGTAGGGGGTTTGTTTACTTACAGAATAATATATTTTGGAGACTCTACTGTATTGGGGGATCCTAAAGGAACGAACCACTCGCGTATGAAAGTCAAGTGGATGGCCAACAAGCGTGAGAACGGCCGCCCAAATACACGATGCGGTAATTCCTCAGACAACTCATTGTCTTGGCGGAAACAAATTTTATGCATCAGCCAGGTCTTAATTAATATGATTTTCCGGTTTTCTTTTTCTGGTTAAAGTAAGGGAACCGACAACGAGCCTTCATTTTTCGAAAATGAGCCTTCACCTCATTCATCAAACAAGCAATTAGATCTGAAGGACCCTCGATGGTCAAATTGTTTTGCTGTACTTTAAAAGTAACTTCCATCCATCGCATGTCACCTACTACATTGTAGTATGAACTCTCCTTATAATCAACATAAGTGGTCTTAATCAGCTCACAAGAGAGCTTCCTTATTGAGCAGACGAAGCCCGTCACGCGCATGACCAGCCGACACTGTCGGAAAGCTGTGTTACAATAACTAAAATGCAACAAATAGAATGTCACCGCAAGGATGATAAGTTTATAGTAGTATATTTGCAATACTTTAGGTCTGGTGCCTCTTGGTCAATGCATGGGCTATAGATGCCCTAGTGGCTACTTTAAACATCGTGTTGTTGGCGTAGATGTAGGTAACCGGTGACAATTTACGATTTACTTGGATGCTATAACTCCTTAATTAAACTCCCATTAGGCACATATTCGATTTCGTTCATGACTCTCCCGCAACCACTCCACGCTGCTTCCGAGAAGCGGTTCATGAAAATGACATTTTTATAGTCAAGCAAAACTAGAGGTTAAGCAACATTCAGGATGAGTGTTGTGTTTTCAAGATCGTATATTTACACGAGAGTGTCGAAGATGGCCTGTAGACGTCTGCCATAATAACGAAGTGCTGTCACCGGAGCATGTCGAGATGGACCGATTGAGATAAAGACTTGGTGTGGTGCTATTGTACTAAGGTAGCGGAGCTACACAGCTGTTAGTAAAAGCAAGTCTTACAAACTCTTCTGGGGTCCCTAATTCTTAAAACTAATAAAAAGATCCTTAGAGTCTTTGTAGGGTCCATAATTCTTAAAGCTAATAAAACAGACCCTGAGTGTCTTTGAGCTCGTAGAGCTTCTAGTCCTGGGATGAGGGATTAAAAATGACTCTAAGTATAGTAAGCACAAGGTGTGCTAGAGTAGACGCCACAAGCTGGATCTTACTCTAAACGATCTACTGACGTCTTTACAAGACACGTGTCGCTCAAATTAAAAAAAAGGACTGAATTTTCACTCCTTAGTTTTAATTGTAATTAACCTCATGCAACTACCGGAACACTAGGGTCAAACTAATTCGCATTGCAATCCAAAGTTTATTAAAACTTTTAGATGGTGAAACAATCTATCAGGGGCACAGATCAATTATCACTGATGTAGCTTTAGATTGTACATCTCATTCGTAAGATAAATCCCTTTCAGGCGATAACGTTCGTGTGACCCCGTTACATTATCCCCCACCAGACTGACGTCACTAAAGAACTTACATCGATTCATTACCTCATCGAGGCCATTAGTGAACAGTGACACTCACAATTTTCAACTCGTCAGACATGGCAACGCCAAACGAGTCTACAACTCTTTCCGACCTCCTCGGTAGTAAGAAGGAGGAAGTGTAATGTAGCATCAATGCCAAATTCAAAGCCAGCGCAACCGTGCAAGTCGACAGTTTCAGGCAGGCATCTAATCCTTCCCCCGAACGTGAAGCTGCGATAGTGCCAACAGCTCAGCTCATGGCCTTCGGTATAAAACTATCAATCATCCTGAACCCGCTTGACGAAAAGCAGGGGCAGGGTCTTTAACAACGGTAGAGCGCTCAGCGCAAATCTCATATTATGGCGACACTCGAAAGTCATGCTCATTATGCGTCCACCACTTTAGGTGTGTAGGAATTTTTCCGAAGAACTATGGATCCACCCTTGCCATCTTGGATGGATGCCCAGAAAGATGCTACACCTGAAGAAGTGGAGGCTAACAGGGTTGTCTTTCTTTGATAGATGCCTGGTTTCGTTGCTACAAATCCACTTCGATACAAGGAAAGGATCCTAGATGAAGGTCATGATGTTTCAGTTCCACCGATGCCGGGTGTCCTCGTACCCCTTAACGCAGGTAATTTGGCCTCCGATGAAGACAATGCGCTGATACACTGCGTGCATAGAGCGCGACGCTAGAGTAGCATTAATTCATTAAGATAAAGCGCTGACGAGGCTGACGTACGTCTCGAACGGAAGCTCTGTTATGATTTTGCCAAATTGAGGGCCAAAGGCCAGTTTCGATGATGTTCCGCATTCCTAACGATGTGGCTGAGCTGATAGCTGCACTTTTCTCATCGATTTTTGGTCGTAGACCCGCCTTCTGCTACAAACACTAGTTAGAAGCGTGAGGGGTCACAAGATGACCCCGACTACGGAACTCAAAAACATCAATTGCATATGGGCAATCTTGCCGACGGATCACACGTTATCCTGTGAATTTTCCGATTAGAGTCTCCGTCGCTTAACCAAAAACAGATATTAGTCATGACTACGGCGCGTAAGTAACCTTATTATATAGAACTGGAGGTTCCCTTGATCTTCAAGCAACGCTGGTGGCGGTCAATGTGTCGCATGCAGCCTATGAGGCTTTAGTCACGAGTTGATCAGTCTTCTTAAGACTTTGGGTCAGAACCAGCGCACGCTTGACGACGTTCAATCCCTTCTGTTTGCGTTTGGTAAAGGTTTAATGCGCGCGAAAACGCAGCATGATCTCCTCGTTAATATTCATCGACCTGTGGCAAGGGCGACATTCGTGGCGCAAGCGCCGCTTCATCAATCTGAGAAGGATCTCAATACGGCTTTGAACGGCTAACATAAAACAAAGAATGCGTACGCAATTTGCGTGCTAAATTTAGCTTATAATGAAGATCCTTCTTGGCCACGACCATAAATGGTTGTATGAAGTGAGGGCGCAGCTTTCTTTTAAACACAGCAGACATTATATTGACAGTTCGGTTTTCAACGTTTCAAGATTTGGTTACCGACCTTATTATTTTCCATAAAGATTCTGCCTTTAGCGTTCAATTTTTCCTTCTGTTTGTCTTGGCTTACAGCTATTGCGTCACGCACATGTCGTAATGTTTTTATTCGCGTTAGGTATTTACTAACTCTTACTTTTATACAGTAGCAGGGCTAAAGTCATCAAGCCGATCGTTCACCTCACCCCAATAAGCCCTGACCACATAATGTTAGCGTTAATGAAACGCGGGGGGAGTGTAAGTTCCTTAACGTAGAACGGAGTATAGCATGTCCTGGCATGTACAGCAGTGTTCGTGGCGAGCTTTACAATGGGAAAAATTGAGCGCCAACGCCGTAACACCTCAGCGCACATGCTGCGCAAGACACGGACGAGGAAGATATTAACGCGCTCAGTCTAATCATCGGTCTGCGGATAATCCACTGTTTACATACCGAGACTGGTGCCCAGCACCTCAAAGTGGATTTGTAAAGTTTACTCGTGACACGACTATCTCGATCTAAGACAGTTGCAAGAGGCAGTCCGCGCTGTCGTGATACGCGGTCAGAGTATACCGAAGCTATACCTTCTCGATCAATCAAATCTGGCATAGCCACTAAGATACCCAATTTCCTTAAACGGTCGACAAAGACCACAACACCAGTTTTGACGTCCGTATTGTTCGATAGGCTAAGCACAAAGTCAATGCAGATAGACTCCCAACCTCCCGGAGGATGCAGGCAAATTTGCCTGCGGCGCAGACGCATATGGCGAAAGCTCCACCCGCTGGTACGTCTCGCATGCGCACATCAATTTTTACCCATTCATAGATTAAATTTACTCATAGCTCTGGCTAACGTAGCCTTAGGTCTTCTAACGAACTAGATAATTGATAGTAGCTGTGTTGTAAACTGCAAGAATGATTTAGTACTTCTGTTTCTCATTGTAAGAAACAATGATACGCGGTCTTATCGCAGTATCAGTATGTCTTTCATCGAGACGTTGTCTATAGAATGTCGATGTAGTCTCGCACGCGGACGTGCCAAAATTTCATGTTCCATTCCTTTAACTCATTGCTTTAAAAACTTAGCTAAGATACACATTGTCAACCCTTTTTAAGATGCACGATTAAGTCATAGTTGATAATGACAAAAACTTAATACGAGAAAAC